CCACTTGTAGTTTACAAGTAGGGACATTTTCTGAAAGGTTTCATCTACTTTTGATAACATACAATTCTGTTGGAGTGAGTATTTGTCAATGGAAGTTCAATTTTTCGTTCAGGAATAATACATTTGTACGTAACTGAATGTCTCAAATTTCTGTGCCACTTTATTACGATATTTTATGAATTTGACCGTTTCCTACAAATAAACAGCAATTTAGCGATGATTTTGCAGACGGATTGATATGTCGAAATTTACGGCAATTATTTGACGTCATACGAGGTCTAATCTATTGCTACTATGAAGCTATTAATCAAATTTATTGATTGAGTTTCTGCGAACTAGAATGTTATGACCTAGATTTTGCACAAAAGAAAGGATTGTTCGAATGCATCTGAGATTTTTTATTTGAAGTAGATTTGAGGGGACTCAAAATGCTTTATTCAAGTTAATCAACGAAAACTCATTTTCTGGAATAATTAAAGAATGATTTCTTTATTTTTAAGGCTTTGCCAATGAGAAATGTCCAATCCTTTTATTGTGAAAAACATTACATTACGAATATGTTCTAGATAAGGTTATTGCACCAGTTTAAGGGGAATCGAATTTTGACTGAGGCGGATTTATTAAGTTGGAAGATTTTTAATTTGTAATCATATGCCCAGTCAGGTCGATTAAGGACTTCACAAAAATTTACTGGAAAGACTTCATCAAATTCAGCTTAACTGGAGGTTACATAACTTCCATTCATTCTAGTTCGCAAAGAAGGAAATCTTCTCGCAAAAATGTAATTTCTATTGCATTAATACAAATAAATATAGTACTGTAGTTCTGTGAAGGAATAAAAAGGGAAAAATCTAAGTGATTTCATTTATTTCTTCATTATTCCTTTGTAGCATATTTCAAGTACTTGACATGTATTCAATTCAGGTGTCACCTTGCAATTTGACCCTATATTTTGTTGTTGGACTAGGGTTGACTGGCAAAGTGGTCAAATTCCAAGACAGCATCAAATGCCATGTTTTCTACATGGAATTTGATGTTTCATGTCTGTCCACAGGTCAAATTCCGAGGCAGAGGTCAAATTGAGAGTTGACCTCCCAGCAATTCTGCCTGTTAAATGGTGGGATGGTCAAATTGCGGGAAGTCATATTGCGAGGTACCACAATCACTGCATTGCACACTATTTTTTCAAACAATTTTATATAATAAGCCATAAAGGTAAAATCTTTGTATATTTGAGAGGGAAAAATCTTTTTTTTTTAAATACACGTATCAACCAACGGTATGATTGGGGCAACGCACTTAAAATAACAAGAATTCAATTTTTCAACATTATAAAATTTTTAATTTGAATATCAGAGGGGAAAGTTCAATGAAAGACCCATATCTAACTATTTTTTCATCCTGAATTTATGACAGCTTAGAATATTCAGCGCTGGAATTCGAATATTTTTCTATCGGTACTGAAATTCAAACCATAAGTACTATAATTTAAAAACTTCTGAAATAGTTGATATTCATCTAGGATTATGAAGTACTTCTGTCTTCCCAGTGGAAAACCGCGTTTTCATCGAACAGTGTTATTACCCAATGAATGTTTAACATCCTTTTTTTTAGCGCGAAAATCTCAGTACAGCAATCAGCGTAATATGAAAATCATGTGGTACTGTTTGGTACCAAAAAATGTGTTTAAAAATGTTGATATTTGACACGGGTTTTTCTTGGATATAAGAGTCTGGTGTCGTCGACTTCAAAACGCCTTGTAAAAGACAGTAGCATAAAAGAGATGGAAGGTGTTCCCGGTTTTTATCAAGCTAAAGGATCATACGTCATTTTATAAGTTGATTACAACTAGACTAATCTCGAAGTTCATGATTCATCTGACGAAGCAGGTTTCGACAGACATTTTTCTAGATATTTTCAGGTGCAGTTTAATTTCGAGGTTATTCTATGCAGTATTTTCTGGTATATTTCTAAAATCAATCCAGGGATTTTGATGCATAAAAGACCTCGAAAAAATTTTTTTTATGATGTTCTGACGAATATTCTTACTGGAATATTTCCAAATTCACGCTTTAAAAATGAGTTCTAGGGAGGGAAATGTGAAGCATTTGTCAAATTTTCATCACTTTCCATGAAGGACGCTGATTTTTCAAATTCCTGGAGCTAAAATGTATGACCATTGTTTACTTAGATATAATTGAATTACATTAGCCGAATGTATGGCATTTAAAATTCAATTATTTTTTTGTCTTCTAGTGGATTTGTTTTGCTGGGGAAATTTCGGATGTGATTGGCCGAGAAAAAATCGCTGAACGTTTAAAAGGATGTTTTAAATTGTAAAAAAATAATTAAAGACGACATTTTTTGGCCTCGGGGTGGGAAGAGAAGACGAGTGAAAATAACTTGGGATCATGGCGTGGGTGTCGGAAGGGTTAATCCGTGATTCTTGGCTTGGAGCCACGTCGGCAGACGTCGACGTCGACGACGGCCGACGGACGAACGGTTCGTCAACCCGTCTGGCGATTTTCGACGCCGCCGTTGTCACGGCCATCGACACCGTCTCGACTTCCTTGCCGACGGCTCATTTTCTGCATTCATGCCTAGTTTAATTCCTTGAAGGCCCCCCGTACCCATCTCCTCTTTATTTTCTTTATATCCATTTCCACCCTTGTGCAAGCCTAGTTGATTCTTCTAATGGTTATTGGACATGAAACCCGTCGGTTTTATACTGAGAATATGCCAAATTTAAGATTTGCTTCAAGTAGCGTTTTTTTGCTTTTGTTTAGGCACTTGATAAAATAGGTGATAAATAGTCATGAATGGTTTAGAAAAACCTGACTTTCTTCGTCTCTGTAGCTGCGCACATTTTAAAATTCGAAAACTGCAAAAGGGCCTTCAAAATTGTTTATGATACCTGATCTCCCTCCAGTATTTCAGAATTTTTCGCTGAAAATTTGCTTCAAACGCGATTGAAATTGGTTTATTTTCGCGATTGAAAGTTATTTTTCGACACCCGGTTCATACACGAAAGAATTTCTCTTTCACACAAACTTTTTTATTTGCGAGTTGTGACTGACTTGAAGCATGAGATGAATGAAATAATTTCGCTCAAATTTCGCTGAAAATTTGTTGAACAGCTTTCCTTTTTTATATTGACAGAAAAGTTATTTTCGCATGAACTGGAATTTTCTTCAAGCAAAATCATGTTGCTTGACTGGAATGCTGATAAAAATGTAGAAAAGGTTTTTACTGTCAAGCTTCCGGTAGTGTAAATCTTGTTCTTGAAAAGCACACTTTTCGTGTAAAGTAATGCAAATTTTTAAAATTCCATCCCCGAAGAACTTCGTGAATTTGATTTTAGAATTTCAAGGTTGTCAAGAAACGGAGACGCTTCAAAGATTGGTTGACGCCAAAATATTCTCGGGAAGTTTCCGACGTAAATTTTTTTTTAAAGTTTTTAATTTTTTCTCTCCCTGGGCAAACCACTAAAAATGTTGGCACATGACTTCAACAGTTGAATCACCAGTGCCATAAACAAATCAGCAGGGCGGAAAAAATGTGGATTACTCACCGAGTTGACTTGTCAGCAATGTCTCACAAAAGGGGTTTCCGGCGGAACTTCTCCAGAAATATGCGGCACTAGGTCAAAAAGTTTTCGGCACAGAAATGAAACTTGAAACTTTTCGTTTCGTGAGACTGATTGAAACTTTTTTTTTCTTTCGTGGATTCGTACTCAGATCAGGGAATTGAGGAGCTTTGATCAAGTGACACTTTTAGGAGTAGTAGACTTCGTTCTGTTTCGTTTGTTTTTTTTCGCTTTTTTCTTTTTTTTGACAGAGAAATTGAGACGGAAGATTGACCTTTTTTCTGAGTCGTGGGGTCAGTCTGGCCTCAGAGGTGGAAGTGTCGCGGCCGACTGACGACGGAGAAGAGCAACGTCGTCGGTGTCGCTGTCGTGTGTCGGTGTCGGTGTCGCGCTTTTGTACCCGCCTTTCCTCTGGAGATAACGAGCACGTGGCGATTCTGTGAGACACAAGTTGCAGGGTGGCCTAGAATATTCTGTATCAATTTTCAAATATATATTATTTCTTGAAATTTCCAGCTGCTTTAAGAAGTAGACTTTAATCTTTTTGAATGAAGACCTTCAACCCAATTTAAAAAAGTGAAAATCAATTCAAAATGTATGTCAATTTTTTCTAGATTTTTAGTAATTATAGTGAGGTTTTTTCAATGTACTTTGACCTGGCTCAAATTAATTTTAAAATATCTGCGTCTTTACAAAATTTAACTGACACGAAATTCCCCCACGAGTTAGAAATTAAAGGACATGTATTTGCAAGTCTTGAAAAAATACAAATGAAATATTTTTTAATTTCCTTCTCTGCAGTTTCTTATATCACCGCAATTATAAATATCTTCATTTTATGTCAATTTTAAAAGAATATGCAGTGAGATCCCCAGATGCAGATGTAATCCGTGCATCAAGAGTGTCCCTAAGTTGAATTGTCCCTAAGTTGAGTCTTGTTTTCCCATAGACTTACATTACATAATTTTTAATCGGTGTTTTATGGAAGAAATATTCTTCAGAATTCCGTGATAAAAATTGTTTGCCAATTGAATTTGATTCAGTGAATATATTTTCAAGTCAATAAGAACATTTGGAGCATTGAATAGTGTATCTCTGAAATGTACATTGAAATGTTGGCATCTACAAAAATAAATAAGTAACACAGAGAGAAGGAAGTCCCTCCATGCAATAGGTAAATTTTTTGATCAGCTGAATGGATGGGAAAATAATGGGAGAAATGACAACGAATCAAGCCAAATAAAAGTAAATTTTTGTGAAATTTATTGGCACTTTTATCATGCAATGTCCTCATGTCAAGTCAGTGTCCGTATTTCAGGCCTTTTTTACGCCCTTTCTATTAAAAAATAAATGTCCCTACGTCGAATTTTCCTCATGTCGAGGTGTCCGAATTTTGGGTCTCACTGTAAGTGCTTTTCTTGCAAACTGATATTCAACCGCCGAGAAATGCGACGTTGAACTAATTTGAGAGATCCCTTTTTTTGAAGAACATTTGCAAAGGAAAAAATAAATACACCTTCCTGGATCAGCTGTGATGTAATAAAAACAATAAATAGAAATAATCATAAACAAATTAACACGCTTCATTTTTCAGCTCAATTACAAAATTGAACTCTTACACTATAACACACGGTTTCGATTTCCGAGATTTTTCCGTGGGTTATTCTCAATAGCAGCTGAATTGTAAAGCTTAGAATTCTTGATATAATTTTATGAATCTGTAAATACTATTTATACAGTATTTTTCTTTGAAAGGTGGTCTGAAATTGTTTGGGCGATCCCTGTTCATACCTACGTGTGCTTACGCAAGGATCCTCATGCCAGCTTTCATTTCGTCTAGTCGAGAAATCAGCTGACAAAACGAGACGCCGATTTCTCACAACCGGAACGGAAACTATTCATTTTGTATTTATTTTTCATTAAAACTTTTAATCCCCCTTTTTTGTGGTGTACGCATTAAACAGATGGTACGCAGTTCATTCATTTATATTTGTACGATTATTTATAAAAAGTTGGACGTGCCAAAAAGGAGTGGCCGAAACAGCGCGTGCACAAAATTAACACCAGCCAAAAACAGCCCGTTGCTGCAGAAGTAAATGCCATTAAAATCGTGTGGTTAAAACAACGGCTGCCCAAAACAACGAGATCCCTAAGCAGCGCAAGCTCGAAATAGCTCAACGCCAAAAAAACAGCGGAGAAACAATTGTGCACTTATTGCGCACAAGAACAGTTTTGTTAAGGTTCCAAGCAGCAAAAAGGATAATTTTGTTGAACAACATTCATTAGAATGAAAAGCATGCCAAGGATTTATATTTTTGCAGGATATGAATTTAATTAAATCAGGGAACATACATTTTTATCATGAGCGATCCAATAAGTAAATGTACCATTTTATGCTTACTATGTTTAGATAGGAAGTGTTGCCAAAACAGTGGCTTACATAATTACAGCTTCAACAATTATGACGATTTTATAAACTTTCAAGTGATTAACAAAACTAGGAGAGACTTTCTTTAATGTACAACTCAAAGGAATTTATTTTTTTTAATTTCTTGAGATGAGTGGAAATTGATTTTTCTGGAATTGAATGTGAATGAATGAATGAACAGAACACTTTATTTACCGCTTTTCAGCATTCACAAGGTTCAATCAAGGTTTCCACAACCAAACCCCCTTTCCCACCCAGCCCGAATCCACTCAATGACATTTAATCACTTCAGAGCAGGAAAGCACAAATTGAAAACAAAAATAAAAGAAAATACAATATAACATGAAATACAGCTGGACATGTATGCTTACACCCATTCATTCTCTGACATTGGTAACAAAATATATGTAAAAATAAATTTAAAGCACAAGGTCTTCAGCTTGTTTCTGTATGGGATATAGTTGAATGAACAAATTAGAGAGAATCTTTGATGAGAAATTATATGAAGCAAAATTTATACTCATTGAGTTGGTTAACTTTTACAACAACTTTTGGAAAGTTGGTCAAGTATTTTAAAATTTTGCCAGACGAATCTCAGGCTTCCATTCCAAGTTTTTTTTTCTAAAATTTTATCGGTCCTTTTGTTTTTACAGGAAGGCAAGAGAGACAAAATGAATTTGGATGACAGCTGCAGTATTCGTCTAAGCACAGAGTTTAAACGAAAAAATACTGCTTTCTTCACACAGCTTTAATAAAAATGGTTAATACGTACAAATAGCATACTTTTATGGTAAGATGAGCAAAAAAAAGGGCACTGCTAGTAGAGAATGCTATATATCAAGCGTTTTAAATTAATTTCCTTCGCGTTGAAGAAAACTGTGGAGAATTTAGTTAACATGCGATGAATTTATCTTCGTGTTGCCTCTTGTCAGTTTTCCTGGAATTCAGAAATATTCTACGCAGTGCACGTATACATTATACTATATATATCATAGCATGATGAGCAAGTTAAATTCTTCTTGAAGAGGAAATTTGATGCGTTCTGAGAAACTGGTTATTTCCTCTCCTTTGACATGGCGTAGCAGCACCCGTATATAATTTTGCCGAGGCGGATGTGGTATTTTGCGATATTTGCTTTTGAATCTATTTATTGTACATGACGCAAAACTGGATAAGCAAAATAATTGGGATTCTCGCACCGAATGTGTGAACAAGTAAAAAAAATCCTTAAAATGTTTTTCCATTGTCTGTGTCGTCTGCTGTGAAATGTTATCGTCGAAGTGAGATGCGTGAAAATAGGCTGGAAAGTGCTGTTTATAACTTGAAATGTATATGTTTCATGGAATGCACGTGAATCTTTTTCTGAAAAAATAAGCATACGTGTTTTTCCTTGGAATGCGGACAATTTTTATGTCACCCACGTTATATTGAAAGTATATTTTATAAAACGCAGATAAAAACCAAGGAGTTTACAGAATAAATTTTTGCAACATCAGAATATAACTCTGTCACGCCTGCTTCAATCCATTATGACTTCGGCAGGATGAAGTTTGCAAACCCTTTGATCTGGCTATAGCTGGGAAAAGCACGTGAATATAGTCCAAAAACTATTTTAATTCTTCAAAAGCATGTTTAGGCCAGCAGAATATTTTTATTTATTTTAAATCATATTAAATGTCAGTACTCTCCATTATGGTCTGTATCCTTCTATTATTTTCTTTCGTTTTGCAGCGTAGTGAAACTTCAGAACCTCAGTCAACCAGATCCAGCGTTTATTTAGTTTATTCTTATTGTAACTTGAATTTTTCAGAGTTTCAGATCATTTTTTAATTGTGTCTGGTGAAAGAAATAGATTATTTCAGCAAAACGTGTATGAGATACATGTTAAGAGTTATGTATGCACTTTGCTTGAAACAAATTAAATGGGCTATTTTAGGAAAACGAGTAGGATATATGTTCAGAGTTACTGCATATATATTCGCTTTGCTTGAAACAAAGTTATATGTCAGGTTTTTAATGCTTGACATGCGATGAGATTATGCAGTACCAACCAAACTATGTGTGATTGAAATACAAGTGTTAATCAAGTACCACGCGCACCTTTTTCTAAAATTAAGAAGTTAATATAACATTTAAAAAAATAGCATTTGGTTCACCTCATATTTGATTGCGACAAAGACTTTGTCCAAAGGCTATTTGAAAATGGATATGATGAAAAATCCAAATTCAATTTTACTACAGTACAATTCAAGTTCAAACTTGAGCTTGGATGCATCTTATTTTCAAAATATTTCAATTTTCATTCTTTAAAAATGGGACACGCATTCTAATTCGATAAAAATACATTTTTATCAAAATTTCAGGTTGAAATTTGTTGGTGCACACCTTGACTACTATCCACATGCAGTGCTTCTCAATTAAATATGGTACTGGTGGTACCCCATAATTAGAACTTAATCCATTACTGAATTAAAGTCAAATTTTGAAGTGGTCAAATTGCAAGAGAAGGTCATAAATGCAATGTTTGTTGAATCATATTTGATGTTTTGCATATCTTTGAGCATCAAATTGCCCAGCAGAGGTTAAATTTCAATTTGACCCCTCCCCCCAGCCAATTTGACCATCAAATTGTGGAATGGACAAATTGCAGGGTAGTTGAATTGCAAGGTACCACCTGAACTATAAATGGAAAGATTGAATCACCTCAGAGGCCTTTGTGTTGTAATTTTGCAAGTGCAGTAATTGACCACCTTCAGATTACCTCAGGTATCTCAAAACTCAAATACTGTAGCACACAACTGTGAATTCACCAGGATTGCTGCACATTAAAGAGTAGAACCCAAAATCCATCACTGGAAGTTAAACATGCAGGGACAAAGTCATTTTTTCTAAAACAAAAAACTTCGGGGTGAAAAGTGAAACACAATCGGATCTATGTGTATAATGTATATATGTATTTGCTGACCTTCTTTCTTCGAGTAGGTCTTTTCCTGGGCATCAGCAAAACCCCTGTTGCCATGTGGACTCATTTTACCCATCGTCAGCGACCTCCTGCGCCGTTCCGGGGTTTATTCTGCACCAGGGGGTCTCTCACGTTTCCGGGAAAAGGCGCTGCGCAAAATTGATCCACGGGTGCGCTTTTATTTTTACATTTTTTTCTCTTCTTTTGGCGCGGTTCTGGGAAAAAGGGGATCTCCCGGGGGAGGATCCGATCCTCTTTGCTGCGCTCCGCGAAATTGATGTCAACGGCGCCTGCAAGGCGAACATTGACGAGGGAAAAAGGAAGTGATTGGAGGACTTCCGGGAGTGCGAAAGGAAGTTGGTTTTTTCGAATGTTCGATGCTGGAAACATTTGCTTTTAAGCGATCAAGAACCAATGAGAAACCCTTCACGCGCATGCTGAGAAATAAATTGAAAAATGAAACGACAATTTTCTTTCAAATTTTTGAAGCCCGGAGTTTTTTTTTCGTCTAAATTCAAACTGTTGACAGAAGTAATTCGATTTGAAAATTGGAGGGAATCCTCAAAAATTGGCTCTATTTCGGATTACTGAAATTCAAGTCGAGTATAAAGGTAGCAAAATATTAGCACTGTTCTAAAGAAAAAGGCTGCAGAATAAAACAGCAGCACTGGACAATTTTAACTTTAAGATTTCAAGTTCGGAAAGTAATGTTAGACAAATATTCAAGTGAAAATTTTCCAACTGCAATCATGCTATGCATATTCATGGAATTTTTTCTAGTTCGTTGATTGAATGCAGACATTTCAGAGCATGAAAATCCCGGGCAAGAATAATAAAAAAAATACGAATCAGCAGAATTCTGTACGCAGAAAATGGGGAAACGTATGAACACAACAATAAACACTTCATAAAGTAATTTAACCGGAATGACCTTTAAACTTGTTCAAAGCGTGCATGAAGACTTCAACGAGCTTTTAAATGCCATGCATAAATTATCAGACATGACCTCAATGATTCAATTAAAAAAGATCCTTGAATAACGGAGATCATTCCACACTTTCAAAAGAGAAACAAACAAAAAATTTGATTGATGAGAAGAGATGAACTGGGAACTAAATTCAGTCTGCTAAGATTTCCATTCGCCAATATACTTGCTTATTCTTATTCTTGTGAAAGAATACAGTACTACATAACGATTACGATCAGCTGGAAAAAAATACGCGAACTTTTTGGCGTCATAGAATAAATTAATTCTTAAGAAGTACCGTATTAATTCGTTAAAAAATCATGTTTTTCAAATTACTCATCCGTGTCCGTGAAATCAGATCTACTATAAACGAAATCTCGAATTGATTGCCGAATCCGTTTTGCAACAAAAAAAAATGAACGAGAAGAGAAAAACAAATGAGTTAATGTTCACATGAATAGAATTCCTGGTAGAGGATCCTGGTCTGCGTATAGATCATCTGCTGCTACATGATGATTTTTCCCAGGAATTGCGCACGTTATGGCTACAAATTTCCGGCGCATAAAAAACACGGCATCTTTCCCTGGTTCGTATTTCTCCCTCTCTCGCAGATGTACTTGGA